CAAAGTCAGGCAGTGTCATCATGTAACTCTTTGCTACGAAGCAACCCAAAACAACAAACGAGCACCGGCGAAGCAATTGAAGTCATCTATCCAATTGGTCAGTATGAAAAGAAGTCAAACATGGCAAAATGTTACAAGGTGATCCCTCTTTTCAATAGCTTATATAAAACAATCCAAAACTTATGCAACATTTTGATAATGACCGTGGTGCGCGAACACTAAGGGGAGAGTGCTTACTAAAAAGTAAACTGAGTGCGGGTTCGCGGTAAGCGGAGCGTTTGTCTTAATAGTTTGAGATGTTAAGTGGAGAATTACAGAGGGCCTCAAATGGAGAAGCACTGTCATGCGACCGCAAAATTGTCCATCAACAAAGCTAGACACCGGTGGCACGATGTTAATTCCGATGTGAAAACCCAAAGGAAGACATTGAAGGCGATTTCCATCCCACTAAAACCGCTGCTCTCCGCAGGCGAAGGAGAACGACGTCCGCGACGCTATTTCAAGTTGTAACTGATGTGAAAAGGATTTCCTCAGGGAGATACAGCACGCCGTGAATTTATTTCGTAAGCATATTCGTGGGTTAAGTGTTTTGTGCCTCCGGTAATGATCAGAACCACATTGCAACTACAAAACCCTATATATGAGGACTAGGCAGATTCAGTTTAAAACCCTGAAGGAGCTGGGTATATATAGGAAATTACAAATTGGGGGATCAGTTGACACATTTATAACCCGACTTCATTCCCCCAGATGTACGGATTTCATCTCAAAAAGTAGAAGCGCGAATACCTTGAGGACAGATGGTTTGCAACTTTTCAATACAGAATCTTGGTCAGATAAAATAACACGTGAGGTGTAATCCAGCAGAACAAACCTCATCAATCAAAGCCCAAGGGTAAAATAGTCAAGGTGAGAAAGAAAATTCACAAGTATACCACATGGTTGGAAAAAGACATCCAACGAATCACTAACATCAAGCGAATCCCATGACAACATAAAACAACCATTCTTTCCCAGTACCAACACGATACCTGAACGCAATAAAAAAACGTGGGAGACTATCCGATGGGACAAACGTGCCAGAGTCTCCTTACACACTGAAACGGCTTGACACGGTTATACAAACAATGCATGGGGATAAGAAATAACAAAGCAGGCATTGCGCGCAATTGGATAAATACATGTATGTTCATGCATAAACGAAAGAGTATACCTGTATATCTGCTACGCTTCACCGGTCAAATTGAGGAAGAAACAGCTCGCTGAGAATGATACGGAACTCATAATTTATAACCCTTGCTAAACTAATACGAATAAACAAAATCTGTTTTTAGATTTGACCAAGTGTACCTGCCGCTCAAATCAAACAAAGTATCATAAAAGTACCACCAGGATTCGGAAAAATGTTCATCGAACACAAGCTAAAAGTTGAACGCGTCCAGGGATGCCAACCCATCAACTAATGCACAACGAGAGGCATATAATCGCAAAGTTGAAAAGCAAATCACAATTTGGACGATGCCGAGATGAATGAATGCATCGATGGGGTGAAATAGTGGTTTTGGAAAAAATAATCTATAGTTTCGTCCGTTTTACGATAGACAGAAGTATATATTGGTCGTGAGAATAGAGTGTGTGCGAAAAATTCAGTCTCGCACTGCAATGTTCGCGGACATTCATACATTAGCTCAGGTCAACTGGCGCCCGGAGAAGTTTAGACTGTTATTCGGATTGACACTGTTGCTCCATGGAGCAGGCCACATGTTTCCTGCCGGACAAGGTAGAGCGAACTCGGAGGAGTGGAGTATTGTAAACGGTTTGTTGATCGACGACATGGAAGTTGACAAGCGACAACCAGTCATGGCAAACAGATGTGGACGAACCACCTGGCACTAGCAATGTATCCATAAAACAAGCTTAACACTAGCCAAGTATCGAAAGTAGGAGATTCGTATAACTAGTAAACACACACGTCACAAGTGAAAGCGAGTGAGAGAGCGAGAGAGAAAGCTGAGGTGAACAAAGATCGAAGTTATGTTTCTCATACGAAAAAAGGGAGATAAAGTTGATCCAACAAACGAAAAACATTGCTGTCGTATTCCTCCATTTCAGTAACTACTTGGAAAATGTGATGCCAAAACTTTTGTGGTTAAATTGAAGCTAAAACAATTTCTGGTCCATTGGCTGAGATCACAACTGACCACACTTCAATCATATAATAAATGCCTTCTATGAACACCTGGCGTGGGAAGATAAATGGTCACGTGATTGACCCAAATTGTTAAGAATGTGGCCCTGTAGGAAATCTGTAGCAAACACCGTTAATTGATATGGACCAGAACAACCAGACTCAAGGTGAGGAGGAATTAGTGATGACAGTGAAAGGGTAAGATTATTCCGTTGGCATGCCAGATTGGGTAAAATCCCAGAAAAATTTGCAGCTGTTTATTGGCCCCCTAATGCCACCTGGAATTGCGGTGCAAAATAGCAAAATGCATTCACTGGTGACTCATTATGAGAAATAACACCGGAAATCAACAGTCCCAGAAGCGCCCTCCAGCGGCTGTACTATTTTCCGGAGCTTTCCAATCATATGCACCGACACGGGTTCTTTTTTATTTGAAATAGTACCGGTTTTGAGTTAAACAAACTACTACTTTTATTACAATCCCCTCACTACTGGAATAGATATGTGTTCTCGAAGCTTGAGCCGGATGATGACTGTTGATCATCCAACAAGTGAGTGAGTGCATTCTCGAAGTTACTCGGACGATTTGCACTCAGGAATTATCTGTGAACTGAAGCATTTCTGACCAACTTTTAATGTTAGGCAGCTCCAACTGCTTTTGGTAGGATAACTAGCAAAACACATGGAAAAATTGAAAGGCGCGTTTATACATTCATTTATCACAATGTACATATGCATATTCCATACTGAGTTACAACTCAATTGGCACTGGTAGTATAAGTGTACGTAATCTACTTTGCTTCCCCTCATTCGAGCCGGACTACTTTGGCCAACAAACTGAATGAGATTCGTTCCACGAGGGGGAAAATGACATGTGGATGAAAAAGTATGGTACAGCTACTTTGGCTGTGTTGGATAGCATCGATCCACTGACTGTCAATCATTCCAAGACATTAAATTCGGCTTGGATACCTCCACCAAACGAGAAATTACATACACAATCATAGATTTTCGTAACGTTTCAACAGATAATTTAACGGGAATAGATTAACCCATCAGCTAGGCGGTTCCTGGGAACTGAGCGCAAACAGTGCTCGGAAAACTTGCAGGGGCCATCGAATTTGTTTTCCATTCAGCTCCTACAATCAGAATACCATAACGAGTATTTTGTATATAGTAGTCACCGAATATACAGCATATCAAAAATGTTTTTTTTAATTTCAAGTCCAGTAAGTACAAAAGAGAACATTTGCGAATGTATTCAAATAGGATTCGGATCATTTCTTTTTATACAACAAATAACAATGCACTTTCGAGCGGCGGTTGTGGTTGCTGTCTTTTGGAAACCCATTTGGATCAGGGAGTAGTGAGAACATTAGAATGCTAGAAGTGCTAAAGTAAAAATACGGTTGCGTAGAAAACCAAACAGGGTGCGGTAAAAATATGGGTATATGTATGAACTACTAATACCAAATCGTTCACCTCAGTCGAGTTTTGTAACTCTATGTTGCTCCAACGCGTCAAAAAAAGTTGTCCGTATTTTGGTTGATCATCGTGGATAAACTGTGGTGACCATATTTTTCAACTCGGTGGTCAAGACCGCCTTTAGGCAACGACACGAGAGGTTTTGCCGGTTCAATATTCTGGCCTGTTCAACAATCCACGGAGATTCGCAGTTGAGTTGATTCTAACTGGGTAACTCCAAAAGGTGATAAAAACAACCATGACTTTGCGATAGACGACTTGCATATTGCAGCACTAGGTCGTGAAGGTGTCTGATATCTCATCCATCTTCTTAGAGCCAAACAACAAAAGGAAACATTCAA